TGGCAGGCGGCTGCGATGGTGAGGATGCAGGCGTTGCTGGCGAGGTCTTTGGTGGCCGAGAAGCGGTCGGGAGTCCTGGCAGGCTTGTGCTTGTCCCACTCGGAGTTGTAGTAGAGCAGGTAGCTGAGGGAGCGGCCCGGGCGCTGCTGGTACCAGGAGATGCCGAACTGGCTGATGTTGTACTGCGGGCTCAGGGTGCAGAAGAGCCGGGCGCTCTGCCCAGGCAGCACGAACACGGACTGAGGCTGGCTCAGCACAGGCTGGGCCCTGGCAGCTGCACGCACCAGGGGTGCAGTTAGTGATGGGCTGAGCCGTGTCCCCCATCACCCTCAGCCCCCAAATGTCCACGGAGCGTTACCCCACCACCACCCTGCTCATCACATCACACAGCCCCAGAGCAAAACGTCCTACTCAAACCAAGCCCTCCTTGGAGAGCCCAGGCAGAGCTGATTCAGCTAAAGCAGCCTTACCTGTGCCCAGTGTCCCCAGCAGGAGCAGGACTGTGAAGCCCAGGGCCATGGCAGGAGGCAGAGGGAGGGAGGCTCTCAGAGCAGCTCTGGGGTGCTGCACAAAGCCCGGGTGCTGTGCCGGGGCCACTGGTGGGATGTATGTAAATGACACGGGGGGCTCAGGGACTCAGCTCCCCGGGGCTGCTCACTCTGCTGCAGCTGGGCTTCAGGGAGGGGCTGAGAGCCACCCACCTTCACCCCAGCCCGTTTCCTTCAGCTGCACCAGCACCCCACAGCCCACCCCACCACCCCACACCCTGGGCACTGGGGTGGCAGCGCTGGCAGAGAGGTGTCCCTGCAGTCTGACACTCGGGCCCTCTGCTGCCAGGCATGCAGGAGGGCAGGAGCCTGAGCCACACCATGCCGAGGATGCCCTGGGGAGGCAGCTATCCCATCACAGAAGGAAAGCTGCTGCCTCCCACCTCGGCAGCTCCATCACGGTGGCAGGAGTGACTTGGCAGGGTCTCAGCAGAAGTTGCAGCGAGGGCTGGGAGGTGCTGAGGGTGCTGCCTCTTGGCCAGGGCCACCCGAGGAGCAGCAGCCGTGGGCAGCCCTGGTGGAGGCGTGTCCCCAGGGAGCCGGGGCAGAGGTGGCTGCGGCACAGCTGCTGCGGAAGGACAGCAGACTGTTACAGCCACGGCTCAGCGGGCGTGAAGCCACTCCTGTCTGTGACACCTGCCCACGGCCACCAGCCCAGGCTGTCCTCAGCAGTGAGGGCAGCAGGCACTTCTCCCAGAGCCGCTGGGCACCTCCTGCCCTCCACAGGCAGGCTCAGCCCTGCCAGTGCCACCTCATCACCGTGAGGGACAGGAACAGCCACTCCCTCCCCTCTGCAGCACGCACAGAGCCCCCAAGGCAAGGACGTTTGCAAGTTCGCCCCTGCAGATGCCAGCAGGTCGTGTTTTTCATGAGCTCTTGCAGGTACGAGCACCCTGCAGGTACAGCTGCAGCTGTTGTCCACCTGTATTGTAAGTGCAGGTGAACCCAGTGGGAAGAAATGATGATGTTTGACTGCAGAAGGCTGAATGATTTCTTTATTATAACTATACTAAAATACATTAATGTACTATTTAAAGGAGATACTAAAACTACATACCTACTTTCTCTAACTACCATATTTAACTCACTACCAACTCATGACCCTGTTCACAAGAGTCCAGCCCCAGGTAGATTGGATTGGCCACCAGGCCACCAGAATCCAACCAAGCAATCACCCCAGATAAACAATTCTCCAAACACATTCCACATGGGAAAACAAGGAGCAGAAATAGAAATTGTTTTCTCTTTCTTTCATCTGTGCTCCTCTATGAAAAAGTCCTGAAAGAGGGAAAAGAACATACCTGGCACACACCTGCACTCCCCAAATTCTGCAAAGTGGTGGCAAGATGAACACAAGTCTCCCTTCCAGGGGAGGAGTGTCACGCACACACCTTGTCCCAGGCTCTGAGCAGGTCAAGTCCATGGATTAGATTGACTGTGAAATGAAACCTGTCAGGACAGAGGGAACTCACCTCCTTAAGCAGAGGGGCATTCCAGAGAAAGGGAATTTGTCCTCAGAGCAGTGAGCACTGGATAATGCAGCCCATCAGTGTTGTTACTGGTTCCCACCACTCCAGCCTCCCCATCTGCTGAGCAGCCCAGGGACATGATTTCATCCATGTTTTCCACAGGAAAAGGGGATGATGCTACAGGGCCCTGACTGCAGGAACACTTGCACAGCAACATTTGGGCACCAAACAGAAGATGCAGCTGGCACACGACCATGTCCACCATGGGGCTGCAAAACCCCAGTGCCTCCTGCTCCAGAGTAGGACCAGCACAGGCAGGGTCCTCAGGGAGATTTTTCCAGTGGCATCCAGCCATGTCACACAGCTGGCCAGGCTGGCCTTGCAGCAGTGCTGGGCTCAGGGTGAACAGATGTGGCACCACCACAGCCCAGATGAGCTGCAGGACAGATTGGGGTGGGGGGAGGCAGGAAACACCACGAGACTACAAAAAGTCGGAAATTCAGAGTATCTGGGACCACATGGGGCCGGCAACCTTCCCAAGGCTGTTGTTTAGCTCAGCCCTTGCCCTGCCTCCCTTCTCTCCCCCCGCAGGAGGCTCCAGAATCTGCAGCGCCATTCGCTGTTGCTGGGCAATCTGGCTACCGAAACCACAACAGCGTCGCTGGGGATGGAGCCGGTGTGCGCGGGGCTCTCCGGCAGCTCCCAGCGCTGCCCGCAGGACGGGGCCCGGCCCCACAGCCCTGCCGGGGCACGGCAGCACCATGTTCGCCACCGTGAGATTCGGAGGTAGGTGGGGAACGCCCCGGCCGGGCACCTGGGCCACCCTGGTCACCCCGCAAGGGCAGGGAGGGACACAGCAATGCCCGGTGCTTAGGGAACAGGCAGGAGAGCTCTGCCAGGGCACGGCAACATCCTGCACCCTACCCACTTTTAAAAAGGGAGATTATTACCTCTACACTCCAAATCACAGGGGAAAACCACTCCAGCAGAGCTGAGTTAAGCACAGGAAGGGAGGCTGGAGGTGAGGATGAGTTCCCAGCCTGGCAGCTCCGGGAAACCACCGGAGGGAGCCCTGCTTATCTAGACACAACCAGAAGAGCCATGGGGCACAAGTGCCAGCTGCTAGCAGAGCTCCTCTGATCTGGGCTGTGTGGGAAGGGTTCCCTGACTGAAATCCTGGCTCTGTTTCAGAGAGCAGGCATTTGTGGGAAGGGATGAGCAGCCCCTATCCTGACCTCACCCAGCTGGCTGAAAGCCTTGGCCTTACCCCAGACACTCGTGGCTGAAGCCGTCAGACACACAGAGTCCTAAGCCTTTGCTCCCTCTGCTATTTGAATTGGATCCCCAGCTCTGACGACTGACGTGTGTCAGCCCTGGGGGATTTCTCAATTGTGACAAACTCGGTCAGAGTTCATGGCCAAAATATCCCTGGGTGACTCAGCCACAATGTCCAGCTTTCCCCTTGTGACTGGGACCAGCCTGTAGAAGGGGACTGGCAAGGAGCAGGGCTCACTGCTTTTTCCTACTCATGTAGGAAAAAGTTGAAGGACAGAGACACTTCATCAATCAAAACCATTTCCCCCTATTGCTGTCTTGAGGTCAGGATTGAAGGCATGTGAGATGATATTTCACATTCACACTCAGGTGTTTATTATTTCTTATCTATGTTACAGTCTCAGTGCCGTGAGTTTGGCAGCTTTTTCATTAGCAAGACACAAAATGGCTAACTCTTGTTACAAGGTCTTTTAAAACTAAACTATCCAATTAAGAAAGGACAGCTAGATTATTTTCCCTTTTAACCCAATAACTGATCTTCTGAAGTCCACAATGTGGACTTTTCTGTCCAGTTACAAAACATCATCCAAACCCATGGAGAAGAAGGAAGAAGAAGGTAAAGAAAAATAACCTGCCTCCACCCTAAAACCTCCATCTTGTTTCATATTTATTTCTATATTCTAAAATCCCAAACTCTATGTTTTCCACCCTGTGGTATTACAGGCTTCTAACCAACTCCACAACCGTAATCCCAGTGCTATTAATCAATTTTAAAAGCCTGTTCTACAATCTCAGTCAAATGCAATGTTCTCTTGTGAGTCTGTGCCTTTAAGCACAGAAAGTTTAAAATTCTCAGCATCCAGGATTCCAACATTCCCAATTAAAGTGGGAATGTTCTCCCCCTTGACCTGGGCACTTTCAGCAGCCACGGCTGCAATGCAGCTGCTCAAGGCCCTGCTGATGCCACGTGAGGGTCCTGCCTTTGCTGGCCCCATTGGGCACCTCTGAGCCACCTGCTGTGCCTCCTGCCATGCCCATGTGGTCCCTGGGTTTGGGGGGACCACACTCCTGTCTCAGGTCTCATTCCCTGTCTGCAGCCAACTGCCAAGAGATGGTGAACCTGCTCTGCTGCGTCCAGACCCTCACAGGGCACCTCAAGTGGAAGTGTCAGTGCAGGCCTGAAGGTACGAGGGCTCTGGGCTGTGCTCACTGAGGGACTGCCACTCACCCAGAGAGGAACAGCACAGGCTAACAGTGGGTCACATAGGAGTCACAGAACATCCCACAACACAGGGAAAGGGACAGCAAACCTCCCACTCCCCAGATAGCAGCAGATCCTGTTCTAAGTGTAACTTGTCAAGGAAAATGCCTCTAAACCCCACAAGCTCATGGTGGCCCCACAGGGGCAGCCTGGGCTTCCTTCACCACATCTCTCTCTCCAGACTGCATTGATCTTATGGATGAAAAGGGCACACTGATGAACCTGAGCAAAGTGGAAGATCCTGCATCTGAATATGCCAGTAAATACCTGCAGGGAAGGCAGCGCTACATCCTCATCAGAGCTGTCCGTGAGTTCCTTGTGCAGAAGCACAGCCCAGCCCCCGGGCAGGAAGGGTCTGCTCTGGGGGCAGGTCTGGGGAGAGATCTGTTCAGCAGTCACTTGGACACAGCCCAGAAACTCTGAGGAGGCAGAAGCCAGCTCAGATGAAGAGCTAGAGCTGAGCCTTTGTTTGTCCAAGGGCTGCTCCAGGGGAGAAGGAACTTTTCCTGGGCAGAACCACCTGCCCCAGTTACCAGCCTTCAGTTTATAGCCAGCAGAGAGACTAATCCATTTCTCCCATTCTGCTGCCAGGAGAAGAAAACTCTGAAGCCACCTGCTACGAATCCTTGCTTGAGGACCTGGGGAAACACTACCCTGATCTCCCAGGTAAGAGCCAAGCACCCACCTCACCTCCACAGAGGAGTCAGGGGTGCAGGCATGACTCCTGCTCCCAGCTCAGCCCTCATGCAGCACCTGTGGGACTCTCCTCTGATCCCCTTGTGCTCCTTCAGGCTCTTGTGGGCAGTGAGAGCAGTCAGGCACCAAGGGGGGACAGAGCAGGGCTGCTGGGCAGGACCCCTCCCAGTTAACAGTGACACCCCACACCAGGAGATCCTACCCAGCTTGTCCCATTGGCAAAGAGGGTCATCTCCTTGGAACAAATGTGGGGGAAGGACATCAGGAGACACTGAGAAACCTTCATCTCCTTGGAACAAATGGGGGGGGGAAGGACATCAGGAGACACTGAGAAACCTTCAAGTGTCTCTCCCAGGCTGTAGTCTCACAGGTTGGCAGTGCCTTGCTCAACATGTAATGGGCAACTGACCAACACAGCAGAAAAACACAATTCTGTAAGGGTTTGGTCACTCCACAGATCGGCTGCAGCAGCTCTCAGCAAAGACTCAGAGGACAGACCTGAGGAAGAAGGGCTCATTGCAGAGAGCCCAGCCTCACAGCAGCACCCAAGCCAGGAACAGGACCACCCTACAGGGCAAGAGGAGCTTGGAACACAAGAACACCCCTAAGTGAGGAACAGACCCATTACTGGTCACAAAGGCAGCACAGCCTCCACCAGGCCCCAAACACCTGCCCAGGTACTTATTCCCAGCACAGCAAGAGTGCCCTGCTACTGAGCCCCTCTCCCTGGGATCCCCTGCCCCCCGAGCTTCACACCACCACACCCCAAGCTGCACCCTGACAAACCCAGCATCACAGCCAGGCACAGGCACCATCCTCCTGCTTCAGGGGTCTCGTGCTCCCCTGGCACAGCCTGCACTCCCCAGGGACAAGAACCTGCACTCCTCTCACTGCATGGGCCCTGCAGGGACTGTCCACTGCAATCACCAGGAAAAGCTGCTCCAGAGACAGCCAGTCCCCTCAACTGCAGAAGAGCTTGCCAAGATGGGTCAAAGGCAGTGTTTGCAGGTGCTGCTGCTGGTTGTCCTTAAGAGCTTCTCCACCCAGAGCAACACACCAACACTAACACACTTATTTCATAAAGGGAGTTGAACAGCTTTGGAGTGGTTCCTCCATGCTCACACAGCTCAGCACATGGAGCACTTGGGCTTTTAATCTCTGCCATCTACCTTTTCCCTTGGCTGTCTCTAAGGAGAGCACAAGACACCCCTGATAAGGCCAGGCACAGCTCAGGACACCCCTACCAAGAACTTAAGACTGTGACATTTAGAAGGGACAGGACTTTGAACAGCAGCCTCCAGTAGCTGCTGCCAGCATTTACCATCTAGATATTGATTTCCTCACAGATCCCAGCAAGGGGCTGAGAACTTGTCCTTTATTCAAGAGTAGAGATCAAAATGTTAAAATACTCATTCTGCCATGAAAAATTCATCAGTTAAGCACCTGAAAAGTGTCCTGGTTTCACTGCTGTACCATTAAAACTCCAGCTGAAACCTCAGAATTCCCTCTTAGACCAACGTGAGGAACAGGGTGTCCTGCTGGAGGCCAGGCCACGGGCAGCAATCACGAGGCTGTGCTGCCAAGGTGACTGGAAGAGGAAAGCAGCTCCAAACTTCACCTGATGCCAGTGACCTTGAGAACATTGCATAACCTTCTAAAGCTTCAAAGTCAGATCAGCCAACTGATCCACGTCCCACAGCCAGACAGGTCACACTCTTAGCTCTGAGGGCAGGACAGGTACTCAGGAAGAGGATATCTATAGAGAAGCAATTTGTCACTGAAAATACCACGGGATATGTGCTGGCTTACCTCTCTGCTGCCTCTCCTCTGCCTGGAGGGCAGCCAGTGTCTGATCTCCTTCTGCCAAGTCATGCAGGCACAGTCCTTGCTAGGCTGCACCCCCTGTTTGCAGGAAGTACACACTTGTGCCTTGTCCTCTGGCTGACAGTGTTAATGCTTTGGTGGCTTAGTTTTAGCTTGAGACTTAAATAAAGAGCGTGCACAGGTGATAGGTCCAAATAAATTCTTTTATTTCTCTGTAATAAATACAGTGCTATCTGAACACTGAAGACCCTTGGGTCCAATCATTCCTTTCCTTCTCTACTAGTTCAGAAGTGAATTACCACTACAATACTCCTGTCTGGTCAGTCTGCTCCCCCCAGCTCACTCCCTGTCTGTCCTTCCACTCCCTGTGGATAGCAGGGCTCTACACCACGGTCCTCTGCCTACGAGGGGCTGAATTCTTCACAGGAGAGAAGAAACACCTACAGGGAGGAAGGAGAAGTTCAGCATTAGGAACATGTCCCAGCAGCTGGAGTTAAAGCTCTCTCACCCGGTATAACCAGATCATGACCTAACTGCTGACAACAGCTTGTACCAAATGCAGCAGGAATTAGAGAGTCAGCCAGGGAGAGCAGCAGGCTTCCCATGGCAGCAAGAGTGGATCCTCTGAGAAAGTGCCTACATCCTCCCAGCCTTCCCAGAGACATGGCCAAAATAGCTTCTTCTTCCCTTTGTAGCTGCCTTTGCTTTTCAGGATATAGGAAAGACACAACTGCTCCCTCCTAGAGGCCTGAAGGGCATTATACCCCCAAAGATCGCTTCTGCGACCTTCAAGCCCTCGGAGGCGCTCTGCCGGCAGCAGCTCCGTGCCGCAGGCCAGGCACACTCACCATTGCTGTACTTGCACTGCTTCAGCGCCTCGTTGAAGCCCTCGCACAGGGTCAGGTCCCGCTGGTTGGTAGCGCACTCCAGGAACTGCTTCATCTCATAGTGGCAGGGGCCGTAGGGCGCCTGCTGCAGCGCGGCCCGGGGCTCCTGCGGCACAGCGCGGTCAGGGCGGCGGCGCCGCCGCTCCCCGCGCGCTCCGTCCCCGGCAGCGGGACCGGCTGCCCGTCCGCCCGCCCGGCCGTGTGTCTGTCCGCCCCTCCCGGCCCGCTGCCCTCCCCCGCCGCCCCCCGCCCAAGGGCGGCCCAAGGGCACAGCCCGGCCCCGCTCGCACCTGCGCGGGCGCCGCCGGCCTGGCGGGCTCGGAGGAGCCGCCGCTGAAGACGCCGGTGATGGCGCTGCCCACCACGTGTCCCACGGCGGAGCCCACGGCCACGCCGGCCGCCGTGCTCGCCATCTGCGCCATCAGCCCGGGCTGCGCCGGCTGCGCCGCGGGCACCGGGGCCGCTGGGGCCGGGCTGCGGAGAGAAGGGAGTCAGGGGGGCGGCACGGGGAGCGTGCCCCGGTGCGCGGCCCCGGCGCGCGGTGCCGGTACCTGGCTGGCGCCGGGGCCGGGCCGTGCCGCGCCGCGCTCCTGCCGCCGCGCGCCATGGCTGTGCGCGCGCCCCGCCCCGCGCCGCCTTAAGCCGGCCCGCGCCGCCGCGTGACCCGCCGCGTGACCCGCCGCGTGACCCGCCGCGCACGCGCAC